CTACTCTGCACAGTAAATATCATGATGCTGACCTTTTGCGGTCATTTATGGTCATGTGACATCAAGCTAATTATTGTCCCTCATTAGCAAAGTGGAGTTTGTATAAAATAGGAAAGGCTCACCACGTCTATCCTTTCAGCAGCTTCTTTGTTTAAATTAACATTAACTTAAACACAAATATGTCTTGACGAGTTTTAGGAGTTTTGACTCACGAATGCAGTAAGGCAGCGTCCGCAGGCAGTGATCTTGAACTCTCCGTAGAGATCGCGGATGGCTCCGGTGGTGAAAAAGCCCTCCACCAGCAGCAGCACTCCAAACACAAAGAATCCAGCTGCAAGGCCATAAATGATGTACTTCAGGATGTCGATGCTGCGGAGAGGACACACATCACAGCGTCGCTAATTAATGACTGCTTATTTATTTTCATGCTTCAAGTGCTCTTCAGACTTCTTAAGCATCTTCAGCTAAATCACCACGAGGAACTGCCAGAAACCAGAGAACCATGGAGGATTTATTCACATTAAAAATGTAAGTGGTGTAAACGTAGCCATTCCCAATTTTATCTTTATTTTCTCGTTTGTCTGTTTACTTTTTTAAAAAAAAACAAAAAAACACTGAAGAGCCAAAAACTGCAGTTCCAGTAGTGTCCACTAGAAGCTCCAGCAGTGAGTCGGTCTCTACACTGTTAAAAGGTTACAGCAGAAATAATCATGTTTACAGCCGGCATTACTGCATGCACGGTTAGGGGCGTGGTCTCTTTGATTGACAGGTGGATGGCAACACAGGCAGTTGTAGCTGCTAACTGACTGCTAGCCCTCACCTCGGCTGACTGGAGTCTGGACGATGATGTGAATGAAACACTTTTAATAATAATGAAGCAACGAGCTAGCCCAGAGGCTACGAGCTAGCTCAAAGGCTGCAGGTTGGAGACCACGTAATAAAGGAAGAGGTGCGGGTTCCCGGGCCTGGAGGGGCGGGGTAAAAAACTAGAACAAACAACTGTGTGGGCCAACAAGGGATTTATAGCTGTATAGCAGGAAGGGGCGTGGCCTGAACTTGAGATAAACTGTGCCCAATAATGCAGTTTCCTGTGCTGTTAGCAGCCTACGCTCCATTTCTGGTGAGTGAAGTTTTAGAATTTTATTTTGGATATTACTAGCGATGGGATGCACCAATTAGGACTCATTATCAATTAAAAAAAAAAGAGAAAACACTGAAACCAATGGCTGCGTTCATCTTTTATATACAGGCTATGCGCTTCAGTTGACTTCAGCTCGTTCTGTTTGGGGTTCGTGATTATTAAGAGTGATTATTAATACTCCGTACAGAGAAAAGATGAAACACTCACATGGTGAACACATCCAGAGTCTCGCCCGGGGCTCTGATGACTTCAAAGTAGTTCTGGAGGATGGTGACGGTGCCGCTCAAAGCCTCGTGGCCACACCCACAGAACAAGGCCACGCCCATGTAGAGGAGGATGGTGGCGATGAGCGACGCCCAGGGCAGGCTGCCCACACATCGCTCGCAGCACTCCTTACAGCCTGAGACAGAGAGAGAAACCATGAGTCTGACTGCAGTTCAACAAATTCTATATGACGATGATGAAAGCAAAGGAGAAGACACGGGGCGGGGTTATGAGGAGTGATGGTAAAAGTTTTTTTTGAATGAGTCACTCACCAAAATGGGTTTTTGTTTGAGTCACTGAGTCAGTTGACCAGAGAGTGCAAAAAATGGTACATTTTCACTCAAACTTAATTTGTTTCTATTTTCATGTAAATCCTACTGGTGAGATGAGTGATGGTAAAAGAAAAACTACTTTTATAGCGCAAAAAAAATTACGATTCTTAAAGGGAACATTTATTTTATTTATTTTTACTTTATTTTATTAGTATTTTCCTTAAATGTGTTAAATATATATTTTCTCATCTAAATGTCCACTGAGCTGTGAGCCAGGGGGCGGTAATGCGCCTTAACATTGGTCGCCAACCAAGAAGAAGAAGAAGAAGCTGTGAGCCAGGAGGGAGGGGGTGAGTGGGTGAGTGGTCGTGTCCAAATTCATGGGCTGCATCCTCCTGAGGACGCATTTGTAGGCCGATTA